ACACCGGCCCTCCAGGACCGAGTTTGGACAGCCCTGCTGTAGTGTTTATTATAAATAATTTATCCGTGCATTTCATAATTTTTTATGAAAAAAAAAGCGTTAACCTCCCCTCCCCGCACTGCAGTTTATCTTTTGGTGCGATGAATGAAGCTGAAGTATTATACGCTGTAGAATCTACATTTGTTATTGTATTTCTGATTTTATCTATTTTTTCAGTGAAGAAATTCATAAAGTCATTACTATTAAACTGTGAGGGAATATTTAGATCGGGTGGCGTCTGGTTATTTGTTAATCTAGCCACTGTGCTAAATAAAAACCTAGGATTGTTTTGGTTATTTTCTATGAGTTTGTGGATATGCTCGGCCCTGGCAGCTTTTAGAGCCTGTCTATAGCTGACGTGACTCGGAGTGACCGACTGAAAGGGAACCATGATTGCTTTGTTTACCATGGTTTAACCATAGTAACCATGTTTTTTGGGTAAAAACCATGTTTATTTGTAGTAAAACCATGGTTAATTTTCATAATTGATGGGAGTAAGCAGTCACTGCAGAGAAGTATTGGCACATTTTGTTCACCAGTTTTCTGATTGGTTGATATTTCTCTGCAGAATCATGGGCAGTGTAGTTAAAATTGAAATTGGTGTCTTATGTGAAGCCTTAAAGTCACCATAAAATCTAAATTGAAAATTATAATTTTTTAATGGAATACTGTAGTGCAGGGCTGTCCAAACTCGGTCCTGGAGGGCCGGTGTCCTGCAGAGTTTAGCTCCAACTTGCTTCATCCAGTGGAGAGAAATCCCCCACCACTAACTGCAAACTGGCATTCAGATCTGCCTCCATTTTGTTAGCAATGCCCCAGCTTCCAACGATCCAATCAATTCCTGAAGGACGAAATCAAGTTCCGCCCTCTCATTTCAGATGCTGTTTCACTCGGATATACGTCACAGTAGAGAAGAAAAGACAATCGCAACTTCCGTTTCATGCCGACTTTAATGTCAATGTCAATTTTATTTATATAGCACTATTAAAACAACACATGTTGACTAATGTGCTTTGCACCATCTCAATATACAAATCAAATAAAGAAAAGAAAAAATCACCTAAAACAACAACAATAATAATAATAACAAAAATTATCAACAAGAAGAATACGCCATGGCAAACAAATATGTCTTTAGCTGTACTTTGAAAACATGTACATGTAAAGGTAATCTATTCCAAAGTCTTGGCACTACTGCTGCAAACGCACGATCCCCTTTCTGGCTCAACTTAGTCCTTGGAATTTTAAGTACATTTTGAGTTGTTGATCTCAAAGTTCTTCCACTCTGATACTCAGTTAGCAGCTTTGATAGATAAGTAGGTGCAAAAAGTTTGTATGAAGCCGTATCTCTTATTATCCTACAGTAAAGTTGCTGCATTTGTAACACACTTCTCCTGCCATGCAGGTGTTTCTCTGGATAGAGTCTTTGACTACAGCGAGTACTGGGAAGTGGCTCGTGGTCTGTACGCTCCCTTCGACTGCACCGCCACAATGAAGTCTGGTAATGCAGATGTTTATGAAAATGAGATCCCAGGGGGCCAGTACACCAACCTACACTTCCAGGCCCACAGCATGGGCCTCGGTAACAAGTTCAAAGAGGTGAAGAAAGCCTACGCCGAAGCCAACAAGCTGCTGGGCGACCTTATCAAAGTAAGACCTCCAAAAATCTCATTTTGATTCCAAATGTGTCACCCACTCTTTCTTTTTCTTTCTTTCTCTCTCCTCCTCCCCTGTTCCACATACTGAAGAGTGTCCTTGAAGGCCAGAGAATAAAGTGGCTTCTTTCTTTTCTATTGGATTGGCTGTCATTTATATTCCACAAGTATATAGTCGAAGCTCTTGTCCCTGTTGATTCAAACCTAGCAATTAACTTAAAACATAAAAATTTGCTGCAGCGTACCCAAAATGGAAACAAAATAATTTAATCACAAGCACCTGTTCAAATTTAAATAAATACATATTACAAAGTTATTTTAGAAACAAGGCATAGTACAGATTCTGGATGTACAGTTCTCATTCAACATGATGAGCTGACGTTCTGCAATCGTCCAGCATCTCTTTGGCTAAAATAAGAACAAGTTCTGCCACTTTGTGTCACAGGTACAGTGTGAACAGTGTTCTGTTTATCAGACGATCAGTCTCATAATCTGGTACCAGCAGTCAGTGTCACCTGCCAATGTTGGCTTCTGCTGTGCTGCACTCTGCCCTCTAAAGCCAAATTAACCGATCAGCTGAAATGTGTCTGGCATCGCTTGCTTCAGTCTTCCACTCAGTGCAATCAATTATTGGGATTCTCCTAAAAGAAGTTTCTGTTTACCTACAGTCTATCTGCATGTGATTGTTATTCAATTCACACTCTTTTTTTTCCCCACGCCATCTCTCTTCAATTTAGTTCATGGGTTGGGGGGAAATGGGCTGGACTTTGGGATCTTGTGGTGATACTCCATTTATATTCCTTTTGCTGTTGCCATCTCTCTTTCTCTCTGCCAGGTTATGTTCAGAATAGCAAAGTAGTAGCCTTATGCATTATTTATACTTTGTACAGTATGTGCATTTTCTTAATGCACGGAATACCTTGATGGCCTACTACATTTGCCAGAATGTGCCATTTAAAACCATTTTTGGTAGAATGAATGAACCAAGAGTGATATCCTTCACCAGATGGTAGGGCAACATTTTTGTTATTTGCCGAAAGTTAAAGGGAAAGTGACAGTACAGACTTTCACATTAAAACAAAAGATTTGTTTCAAATAAATGCTAGAATCCTGAAAAAAAAATTAAATAGCACTTAAATAACTGTTTTCAGCATTCATCATATTACTTGAGCACCAAATCAGCATAGTAAAATTATTTCAGAATGATCATGTAACACTAAAGAGAGTAATAAAGGAGTAATGGCTGCTGAAAATATGGCTTTGCCAACCCAGGAATAAATTACATTTAAAAATATTAAAACTGAAATCAGTTATTTGAAATTATAATAATATTTCACAATTTTACTGTTTTTATTAGATTTTTAATCAAATAAATGCAGCCTTGGTGAGCACAATAGACTTCTTTCAAAAAATATTTAAAAAATCTATATTTAAAAATATCGAAATATTAGGCAGCATAGTGTATATTTTGCACAATAAGCATTATGCTAGTTTTCGGTTCTGAACACAACCTTCATGTCTTGCTCTTTCTTGCTATCCGGTTTGCTGAGACACACACCGGCACACAAGTACACACACTCCTCTAAATCTGTTTCTTTTGAAGCAGCAGCAAGCACTGACACACACAAACCGTTCTCTTGAGTTCAAAGCACTCGCTGTCCATGCCGATGGCCAAACAGATGTACCCTGTCAGTTAGCCGGAGATACCCTGCACAATAACACAGGAGAGAGTAAACACTTCTAGACCTGTGTGTGTGTGTGTGTGTGTGTGTGTGTGTGTGTGTGTGTATATATATATATATATATATTTTGCACCAAGGCCTAAAATTAATTTCTGAAAATGTATTATATATATATTAAGAACTGTCTTTTCAGTTACTTGTTTCCCAGCAAAGTGTGATGCAATCATGTGCAATGTTGTTTGTTTAGCTAGACAGATAGTTAAGGGTATATCTTCATAGTTATATTAAAAATGGATAAAGTTAAAGGTAAATGAATGTGTTGGGAAAAAAAACACATCAGATAAAATCTTGAGAAAGGAGACCTTGCTGCAAAATCAGTTATAAAAGTAGGTCATCATTTATGCATGAATACGTATGAATATGCACATAAACAATCAGACTAACAGAAATGAAATTAAACTGGCTGATGATGCAAAGAAAATAGCTGTACATCACAGGATTGTAGAGAGAGATAAAGATGGGACATATAACAGGTGTGCTTTGAATGTAATTTATGTGTTGGGCTAATATTTACATTTTGTACCATTAGTTGTTTATGATACACTACCATTTAAATGTTTGGAGACAGTGATTTATGAAGGATTTTTTGACAATGAAGACTGGAGTAATGGCTGCTACAAATTTAGCTTTAACATCACAGGAATAAATAACATTATATATTAAAATAGAAAATAGGTATTTTAAATTGTAAACATATTTCACAATATTAATGTTGGTGGGCATAAGAGACTTTCAAAAACATTTAAAGGGGTCATATGATGCGATTTCAATTTGTCCTTTCTCTTTGGAGTGTTACAAGCTCTTGGTGCATA